TTATCTGGGTATTCTTCTTTATGAAAACTCATTGTTTTCGAAAGTCTCCCCTGTACTAATTCACCACCGTATTCCAAACAGGCATAAGATGAACCCTCAAGAAAAACTTGCAGGACCTGGACTTCGCCGATGATATATGTCTGATTTCCCACAAAATGGAAGACATGCAAGTGAAAAGCAACAAGCTGGCAGAAGAAGCATCAAAGATAGGACTTCAAGTGAACATAGATAAAACAGAGGTGATGAAAATTCCCGGTCAACACCAACAGAAACAACAACAGACAACAATCAGCCAGCATAAATGGGAGGAACCTGAAAGAAACAACCTCCTTTACCTACCTACCTAATTGGAAAGCATCGTTTCAACTACAGGCAGAACTGACGAGGATATCAAAGCCAGGATCATCGGAAAAGCAAGAAAAGCTTTCATTACTCTCTACTCTGTGTGGAGGTCAACAGCATTCAGCATCAAAAATAAGACCCGGATTTTCAACTCCAATGTAAAGTCAGTGCTACTCACTATACGGATCAGAGACTTGGCCAGCGCGTCATAAAGAGCATCTCAAACAAACTTTAGGCCTTTATTAACAGTTGTCTTCGCTCAATACTCAAGATCAGATGACCAGTAAAGATCAGCAACAGGGAGGGATCTCTGGGAGCGAACCAACCTAGCAGGAACCGATTGTGCAACAAATAAGCAGGAAGAAATAGAGATGGATTGGCCATACTCTGAGGAAACCATCAGGTGACATCACTAGACAAACCATTGCTCCAGTGGAACTTGATTGAAAGGGAAGCGATGAGTTGGTCGTCAGTGCATGGGTGACTTGGAGGAGGTCATGTGAAGAGAAGGTGAAAGCATGTGGGCAGACTTGAAGCCAGATGAAAACTCTAGCAGAGAACCGAACGCAATGGAGACGTGCGGCTGAAGCCCTATGTTTCTCTAGGAATTAAAGGAAATACTTATAAATAATAAATAATAATTCCAAATATGTAGGCATATACTATTTAATTATATTCTGTAAGGTAATTCACATTTGAAGATATACGTGTCTGAATGAAGATGAACGGGAGGCATTTTCAGAGGTTTGAGCAGTCAGCTGAAAGTATCAAGTTGATCTGTAATCTCATATCTATCAAGTGTTGATACATTTGTATGTGTATGTGCTTCGATTGAAATCGTGTTCCAGGCTATTGTTCGAGTGGAACTAGAATGGGAAACGACGAGAATTGTATGGATTCGAGGGTGAAATGAAGAAGATCGTATGGGGAGGAGGAAATGAGAGACTATTAGGCATCGTGAGACCAGTTACAGAGGTCTGTAGAGAGTAGGACAAAGTAGAGATGTGCCGCTGAAACCTCATGTTCTACTCGGAAATCAAAGGGAACTCATAACAATAATCCTGGTATCATAAAATATGAAGCTTAAATGCACATTAACCACGGTGATGTTCTGATTGTCTCAGTTATTTGGACAGGTTTTTTAAACACCCTTACGGCATCACATCAAATGTCTGCAGTGAAGTATTAGAATATTCACAAGCAACGCAAGTGGCTTGACCTCGATTTCCAGTCGACGAACTTATAAATGTTGCCTATTTTATTAAGGCTGGGTGTGTGGACCTTATTATAGGCAGGCTGTTGAAATCATCGGACTGCTAGAATTTCCCCCCATCAAAATATACTACACTCTCTTAAATTTCTTAGTGTTTAAATTATGCAAATTATATCATGTGATCACTATAGGAACTCGCGCACATATTTAATTAACTTGCAACTAAATACTGTGAAATTCTTGAAGGAAATTAGAGAAAAACTTATAGAATTTTTCCTCTCTTCATATGTAACAACGCACTGTGTCACATGATATACTTTAGATTATTACTTTACGCGTGAATTCTGTTTAAAAAGGGAAACATTTCAGAAATAAATCACGAATTGGTAGAAGTTGGAATTCATGGGCTGACCGTTGAATCGGGTCACAGTGGTTGAATGGTAAAGGAGCTAGCTTGCCTCGTAACCGGAAGGTCCTGGGTTTGAATCCTGGTGGTAGGGGTGTGTACTGACGATGATTTCCAAGCACCAGGATGAAACAGCTGTCTAGTATTCGAGTGCTGGTTTTCAGCGGTTCTCTAACTTATATCAATCTGTGGTCACACTCGTAAAAACAAATTTAATCCTTACAAACCAAACTCTTGGAAATTAATCCTATGCTCGGTAGTGAGTGAATGGCTACAGGACGGGGTTTCCTGAAGTGAGTTCTATTGAGAAGTAGTGACCGAAAAGGTACAACCACTTAAGTGTGAGCATGGAGTTCCCACCTATGACAGTGGTTGGTGGTCGCGCTAAGTGCATCACGAATTGATAGAACTTAGAATTCATGGGCTAGCCATTGAATCAGGTCGGGTTCCAGTGGCTGAACGAGAAGTAAATAAGCTGAAAATATGTGTACTATGTGTTCACTAATTGTCCGAAATAAAGCTTTATTACCACTATTATTATTAAATAATAATCCCACTGCGTACAAAAGACATACCGCTACCCCTGGAACTTAAAATGCTTGAAGCCCCATGATCCACTGAAAACACAGGGAATGGAGAAAAAGGTACATTCCACTGACTGTTATTATTTCATAATTCAGCCTGTTTGAAACCTACGCTATGAAAATATTCCACCAGCATATGACGTATGATTTCTCTTATTCAACTTGTCAAGTGCTAGGTAAGGAGGGGAAATCAATCAACGAGGCTGTGAAATTAAATCGACTGAGATGGTTAGGACATGTGTTATGCATGCACGCCTAGTCATCGCCTTCCTTGACAATAGGCAATGTTAGCTGATATAGGGTCATGCTGAAAAAGAGCTAGCGGCGGTCAAACCAAACATGGTACCAGTCAATGAAATCTACAAAAGTTAGTTTAAGCCAACCATGTAGGAAGGTGTAGACTACCTGGTTGGGGGCTTCGGGACGTTAACACTCAGTGGTGGCTGGAGACAATTGGTGATATGGCTCAAAATCGTTCCCAATGGCTGGCGAACATGTGACTTATGATTTCCAATAAAACTATATTGTTCTTCATTATTACTATTCCTTTGTCTCACACCTCTCTTTACTTTCTCTGTTATGCATTTCTTCTACTTTCTTCTCTTGCTTTGTGTGCTACACAGACGGAGAGTAGCGACTCGAACTGCTGCACATCGGTACAAAGTTCTATGCAGAAAACAGACAGACAGATTCAACTTGTCTCAATCTACTCTCTGGAGTATTTAAAATGTCAGCAGCCTATTGATTCAAAGTTTTTTCCTACAAAATTTGAGAATACTCAAAATTGTAGGTGTACAAACTGTCATTGACCCCAGAAATAAAACTAATGACCTTACAATCTCCAATTATTCATCTATTTATTCATGTATGTGGGTCAGAAGATGTACTCCAACACCTTTCTTAATTGGCTTATAACCAAATGTTTTGGATTTCTCTCGAAAGAGGAAGGCAAACAGGATAAAGCATCATAAGGAATCCGTTTCGGTTTCAGATGAGACAACAGTGTTTATCACGCGATTTCCTCTGAATTATTATTTCACTAGAATAGCCTGGACAAAGAGAGAAACTATTATGCTATGATTTCTGCTGAAAATTCTGTACTGTTTAGATTACAGCTAATATAATAATTAATGAATTTCATCATGAGCTGACAGTGATTAGAGAACCATTGAAAAACCAACAGGGAGCACTGGACAGCCGGTTGTTTCGCCCTAGTTTGGGACTCTTCACAGTACGCACCCACCACAGGGGTTGGAACCCAGGACCTTCTGCTTACAAGGCGAGCCAGCTCGTAGGCCATCAAGCCACCAGGACCCGATTAAATGACCAGCCCATGAATTTTAACTTCTGCCAATTCATGACATAGCGCGACCACTAGCCAATTTCTTCGGCGAGTATTTGTTCTCACAACCGACTGGTCACGACTTCTGACTAGAACCCCAGGTAACTACCTACTTGAACAGAGTAAGTCGCTAGTAAGCATCTCATTGATATTCAAACAAACCAACACTTGAATAATAGTAATAATTATAACTATCGTTAACTTCCACCTAAAGCTATCCTTCTACAATTAGAAGCGTACAGCTTATAGGATAGCGACATATGTGATATGACATTCTGCGCTACTACTGTCTGACACAACATAAAACTTAAGAGATAAAAGCGGATTTCAACGTGTAACAGTGTGACTTGAAAGTTGAATAACAGTTAACGAATAAACTATTCACGATATCCGGAAGTTGAACATGTCTCCACAGATATTTGAATTAGACAACAAAAACAACAACGTGAATAGTTTTCATCGAATAAAGATTTTATTTATAAAATTGGCATATTTTCTCTTAAATATAATACATATATATATCTAATAATTTTCATTAGTTTGGTAGATCACAGGGGATTAAAAGTTACAATTGTCTTGATTTCACATCGAAGTTAACCTCCTTCTGCTTCATGTTCGTCTTCTTCAAATTTACACAATATACAAAGATCAAAACTAAAAGAGGTCATCTTCCCACCCCAACTCCACCACCCGCACCCTCACACACACCCACCTACCAACTTTTACGTAAATTACACAGTTTTATAGTTTGATGCATTGTGTACAGTAAGTGATGTTTTTATTCGTTTGTTTATTTTTGAGTACGTGTGCGTACTTATAAATGAATGAAAGGAATAATTGTTGATTCCTGAGATGAATGATTTCACGGTAAATTTTATATGTACAGTTGTGCGTATAACATGAAAAGTGTTCATCACACTGGTGTATACAACATATATATATATATGTATATATATGTATATATATACGTATACGTATAATACATATTTACTGTGACGCTTATGATTTAACATCACAGGACTGAATATAATATACACAATAATATTGTTATACATATAACGTATACATATATATCACCATAATACCACAGTTCCACATATTGAATTGATTAGCCTATATAATTCCTGTAATCAATGGTCTTGAATTAGGTGAATTTGATAGGCAAATACACATATCTCTTCCACAATCATGATTCATTTCATTATAATCCATTGTATGCGATACTTGTTGTTGTAATGCATTACTATTGGAAGAACGTAAGCATTCAGTTGATGTAGTTCGATTATTTTCTAGTGTATGTATATCAGCTGGTTGAACAATCATTCGACATCTGCTCAATGAATATTGATCTTGATAGTTTGGAGTAGAACTGTCTGCCCCCTCGTCCTCATCGTCCTCCTCCTCTTCATCATCATCTTCGACATCCTCATCAGAACCTTCAGTGTCGACTTCATCATCAGCTGTTGTATTCTCATCTTCCATCTTGACGCCATCATTATCATTTTCTACTCTGGACACTAATACATGTTGTACATTTATCTGACAATCATGACTATTACGTAACTGTTCTTCTTGACTTTCAGGATTACATAATACAGGATTTTCAGGTGTCCAAATAGACAGATTAGAATCAAACACTCTTTTGTTACTTGTAACAGAGGAATCATCTGAATTGCAGTCAGATATTCTTTTATATCTTTGTTCATTAGGATTAGTTGAATGTAAAACAGGCATTTCAGAGGATGAATTTATTGGAAGAGGAGTGGTTGATTTGACAGCATTTAAAAGATTACATTGTTCCCCACTATCGGAATGACTGGTAGATATTCTTTCGGATGGTAGTGTATCATGGTTATTTATTGCTTTAACACTATTATTATTATTATCATTGTTAACGTTTGTCGGCAAAGTGTTCATAGCTTCTTGAGTTAGTAAAATCGATCTAGCCTTTTTAGCAATTTTTAAAATCACCATAACTCTATATAATCGATTACTCGGTGAAAAGGTACTCGATGTTCGTCTTGAAGTGACACGTGGCATAGATTCTGAACTACTATTGCCGTTATTGTTAGACACAGAAATATTCCTATTTTCTGTTGCTGCTGCTTTCATAGGTTGTTGTCCCACTGGTGATTGTAAAGTATTTTGAAAATTACGCAATTTATTAATTGATATCTCCATGACAAGTTTAAGCGCTGATGATGTCAGTTCATTGTTACACGATGAATCAAATTCTGTTAAATCCATGACTTTTGTAAAGGAATAAATATATGTATATATTTGACAAAATGATTACAAGTTAATTTATTATTCCTCGTTGAGAATTTGTAGTCGTATGAATGTATAGTTTATTTTTGAAAAAAATAATAATGATGAAAAACTAACAAACAAACAAGCAAAAAGAATTCAAGATGAGATAATGGACATTTCTGTCAGTTATTCTTATATAACACTGGACCAATGAAATTCATTGCCTTTTTATTGTTTGAATTAATTATAATTAATCAATCAAAATATGGTTGGTTAAACAAAATTCTGTATCATTCAAAAGTTTTAGCAATAGAATGGCATCATTATTCACAATTAGTAGTAACTGTAATCATCAACCATTTATATGCTGTGGGGTAAGACAAAATTATACTAATAATAACAATAACAACTACAACAAACAACAATATGTGGGCGTGAATAAATTTACCAAAATGTTGACTATTACATTTATTTTGTATTATATTTATATACATTCACTAATATAGACCAATCATCGAATGAGGCTGCTAATTGACGTCAACTATTCGGCCAACAATCAACCAATCTGATGACAGTAAATTTTTACCTATCGATTGCAAATATTATTATCTAATGTATAATTCGCCCACCCACTCACTCATTTATAATTTGAACATACGCCCTCGGACTCTATTTTCTTTCATTTCTTCTTTTTTTTATATATTTTGCTTTTCTTTTTTTTCTCCTGAAATAAATGAAGCAAATAGACGACTTAATACTAATCACATTTTAGCTTTCACTTTAAACGCTTCTTTTGCTTGATGTCATGTTTGGGTGATTATTATTGTTATTATTATGATTGATTCACCTCATTTCACTAGTTGTAAAATATAAGCAAACCTCTTCGAAATTCATGTTAGACATTTTTATATTTAGAACCTATTGTTAAGTTAATCTGGTGTTCATTTGTCAATAGAAAGTCTACTAGAATTTGCTATTAAAATCCAATTTACACCGGGGTTGTGTTGCCTAAATTAGCAGCAATATGGTATATATAGGATAAGTGAATCTAAATCAACTTGAAAATATTTCACGGTTCATACGGTATTAGATGGCTGGAGGCAAATGGACTTAGGTTTCGTACGAGTTGGTATTCATCAGTAAGAAGCACCTGCAACCTTGAAAAGACTCATTCCCCGTGTCATCTAGTGGTTCAGTCAGAGACAGTATCAGTCACTGAGTTTTTGGGACTCGCAGTTGACTTCCTGTAAGACTGTACTGAATACTTAGAATGGACACTAGTTAGTAATTAGATACTGTGTATATTCGACAAACATCACTGGCAATTAATTTATACATAAGACCTCACTCTTCATCTTCACTACAGGGGGACCCAAGAGGAAAGTGAAGACTAGAACGAAACAGCTCTCCAGTCATTAATCTCTCCTGGTTTTCATGATTCGCTTTATTGTATATTCTCAATAATTCTGGCGTCGTAGTTTGTTACAACGGTCGTTTAATATCAAGTTATATTTTTGATATGCTTTTTAAATGAAACCCCTCATCTAAAATTTTCTTCTAAAGTACATATTACCTTTTTTTATTCATTTACTTCCCCCGTGGAACATAGGTCTTCAAGCCAGGGGCTGGAAGCCTCGGTGGTATTGGTGTTTATTTTTTACGGCATAGGATTGTTAGTCTCATGCTCAACCTTCCCGCTTTGCCACTTATATCACAGGCTTAGCGAGGTAAAGCAATGTGTCTGTGGCTGGGAATCGAACTGTGAACCACATGAGGCGTACTTGGCAAGCATTCTACCGTTGTGTTACCGACTCACGTACATATTACCGGTGGCATTATGTTGTTGGAGTGATTTCCACTTTCTGAAGTTTTATTTTTTAGGAAATTCGGCTTGATACTGATTTCTACGGAATGTAACAGAGTAATGGAGGTACTAAGTAAGTTTTTAAAGTCAAGCATATATTATTGAATTTTGAGGCGGTTGTGTTCTCTGAGCTGTTTTTCACATCTGAAAAAAAAACACACAAAAACAACCAATCACGTCCAAGGTCACCCGTCAGAAGAGATGACTAATAAACTCGCGGAGAAATCTAAAAGCTCACTTCAAATTGAAGTATGGGCGCTGAAGATGTCACCAAGCAGGGCGATGAAAGCTTCGCAAATTAACTATCGAGCTGAGAGAACACAACCGCCTTAAAATCATCCACCTTAGGTACAAATCGTCTCTATCATATTATTGAATTTTCATAAAATCACGTGGGTATATTTTGGCCGATTTATTGAAACACCCTAGTATACCAAACGGATAAAGGAGGTGACGCCATTTCAAAATAGGGATATGTCATATGATCACCCATTTTCAATCATTCTTCAAATAACACCAATCAAAGATCAAATTTTGAAACAAATCAAGCGCCTCTTACAAACTAATTCGTAAAGGAGAAAATGGTTATACATTCGCATACTTCGCTAATAGTGTCACCCGCATCAGTAATAGGGCTTGCAGTTCTTATAATCATATGACTTATAGTTCTACCTGGGGTTGATAAGAGAGCATCTGGTATGTGTAGAGGGATATATACGAAATTCACGTTAACAAATAAAAAAACACAATACATTCACCACATGACATATAAAAAATAAGAAATAATAACAGCTTCATTCGGAACAATGCTTATATAATGTAGAGAAGCTTCAGAGGAGTTCAGCCCCACGCTAAAAGTATGGTGGAGACGACAAATTCACTGTACTTAGAACACAGGATATAGATGGATTTTTCGAACACATTAACTCAAAGTTGGAGGCAGTTCAGTTCACTTATGAATTGGAAAGTCAGGAAGCGAGGGAGCTTCCAATGTTAGATTGTAGAGTTTAAAAAGGAAAGAAGATGGGAAGTTAAACACACACTAGTGTTTAAAGGAAACGTACACATTCAAACAGATACTTGGACTTCCAATCATCCATCTTATGTCACCATCTTTTCAAGAAAAGCAAATTCATCCTCTAATTTCTCCATAGAGCATATTCTCCTCGCCCTATAGTACAGAGTCTTGACTAGTCCGTGTTTAAAGCTATTTGGACAAAAACTATTAAAATGTAAATATTGAATGAAGGAAAATGTTGTGTGAGTAACTTGATATGATTATGAGTGGCAATAGTTTGTGCACGAAACGTGGTCATCAGTTAACATTACTGTACAAAAACTGTGTGACTTATCAAAATCAAATCTTATCCAAAATGGAGTAATACTCTACCACTACACTGGCCAAGTTTTATACTTATATCAAGTCTACTGGGATATCATGATCAATTAGGTCCAACAAGTAAGCTCTAAGAACAGATAAGCACTGATGACTTCGGCTAGCCGTGGCACTAAATATCGCGAATCTGAGGAAATCAGAATTCCCCGGTAGGTGAATACCGCCTAAATGGCTGTAGGGTCACCAGGGTCGCCTTATAACCTGTAGGCGTGGATTAGATTCCTGATGAAGAGCTCCAAAGTAGGAAGAAATAGACGTCCAGTACTCCTTGATGTTCAAAGCCCTCTGACTAATGTTATCTTATGATGAAACTTCAAGTCAGTCAAACCCCCGAAAAACACTTGCGATATTAATATATGAGTAAAAGTGGGGCACAGTGGTAGTAAGTAATTCAATATTAGTTTGTTTATTAGATGCATCACACAGTGAAGCAATAATATTCACTGGATGACGAGGTTCAAACACAATTTATTACTGTTCATAATCATATGAATTGTAATCACACGACTTCAAAACTTGAATTTTAAAACTTCCTTTGTCCTCTCCTAATACTGATGACACACATGTCAAATATGCGCAAGACAACACAAACAATAAGGAATCGAAATCATCAATAGTAATTCCATACAAGTAAGGAACCTCGGAAACCACCTTACGCAGAACTCTTAACAAGGCAGGAATAAAAGCGGCTGGGATTCATACCACCCAAAAAACTCAATTAGAAACAAGCTTTTTAAGTTAAAGGATCAATTCTGTGGATCCAATTAAACAAAACAACTTAGTTTATCTAATACCCTGCGTGACTGCAATGATTGTCAGGTCAAAAGCAAAGGTCAAAGTAGTAGAACAGGCGCAGTCAGTCAGACTAGCTGAGCATAAAAACCTAGCGAAATCTAGATTGGTTGACCCCACTAATAAGATAAGAAATCTAGGGAACATTTCAGCCGTAGATAGCACTCACTACGTGAAATCGCACACAACCATACAATAAGATGGATGGGATAAGATGACAGTTTTAAGATCTGATGTAACAGCTGGGTGGAGGGAGAGATTGATAACTAACTGAGTTTGTATTTGTCGAATCAACTGACAACACCTGTCCAGTCGGATGTCTGGAAAATTCTACTTCCTTTACGACACCGAATAGGAAAGATCGAAGAAAACTATAAAGCTCAAGTTTCAAAATCTTGTGATTATAATTGATAAAATGATTATGAACAATAACGGATTGTGTTCGAAACTGTGTCATCCAGTAAATAATAATACTGTTTCAATGACTGTATGATACATCTAATAAACAAACTAATATGGAACACTTTGGATAATTGTTCACCGCTGACGAGGTGATATGAGTCATTAGCACTTCCTCGTCATTTTTGAGTTCACCTTCTTTGCACTTAAAAGTATATATATATATATATATATATATATATGGATGACTTTACATAAATTGATTTATTTGCGTATTTTACAATTTTGACACAAAAAATGAGTGAAGTGCGTTAATTTAGTCTGACAATCAAAACTATTTAAACTACTACTAAAGGTCAGCAGATGACATAAAGTAATCACATAAATAATGAAAACAGAAAATCAATAAATACATATGGTGTGATTTTAATTAAGTCCATTTTAGAAGTGAGAAATACAGTAATGTAAATGGATGTTGGACTGCTATGTCGCATTCCTGTGCGCGAAAGTGAATTCTATGTGTATGTTCTACGTGTTGTACTATGT